CTCTTCCAACTCTATGATTCTATGATTCTATGATTCTATGATTATGTGGTGTTGTGTCTCGCTCTTCACCTCCCTACATGAACTCACCACCTTTGCTGAGTCTTTCACTAGTAGTGACAATTAGGCTTGGGTGCAGGGCATTGTTTGTGTAGCTTGGAGCAGTGCCATTTTTGGGCAGACTGACTGACTGGAATAATGCATTAGAGCACATGGCTTCTTCCTTTGAACCTGGTCACCTTGAAAACAGAGCAGCTTGCTGAGCAGTGATCAAGAGGTCTCTTGCCCACACAGGTCCTTGCTGCATGACAGTGGAGTCATTAGGGTTGGCATCATCTGGCTAGATACCTCATGGTGTCACCCCACATTAACCTCCTCCCATGCTAGACCATACAGAATCCTTAGTAATGTTTTTTCGTACTAATGTTACACCTTAATAATTCTGTATGCCACTGAATGTAATAGCAATAGTTGTGACATAAACAACTCCTAAACAACTTTGTCACCCTCCTAACTCCTGAAACTGGAGACTGCTGTCTCCCATTCACACAAGAGATTCCAGCTTTGGGAGTGGAATGCAGGTGGGATCCAGGGATTCTTTCTCCTCTTTACTCCAGAAGCAGAAGGCTTTTATTAGAAAGAGAGACAGCAGTCTGCAGCTTCAGGATTAGAGTGTAGGAGGAATCCAAGGATTCTTCCACTTCTTAACTCCCAAAGTAGAAAGCTATTGTGTTGATTCTGCTTCCTGCTTTGGGAGTGGAGGCTGCTGTCTCCCATTGACACACCAGCCCCCAGCTTCAGGAATTAAGAGGAGGAAACTGGAGGCTCTTGTGTCAATGGCAAACAGCAGCCTTCCTCAGGTTCATGTGCTCCCTAGTTCTCCTGCCTGCTTCTTCCTCTCTCATGAATGGGGCCAGATCATACCAGGAGGATAGAGGATCCCAGAAAATCCTGTCCTTCTGCTCTTCTTCTCCCTGAGGGTTTTTGATGCTCAATGGGCAGAGAAAGGAGAGGAATTAAGAGGAGGAAAAATCCAGGGATTTCTCCTGGACCTCACTCCTGAAACTGGAGGCTCTTGTGTCAATGGCAGACAGCAGCCTTCCTCAGGTCCATGTGCTCCCTAGTTTTCCTGCCTGCTTCTTCCACCTCATGAATGGGGCCAGATCATACCAGAAGGATGGAGAATCCCAGAAAGTCCTGTCCTGTCTGCTCTTCTTCTCCCCGAGGGTGTTTGATGCTCAATGGGCAGAGAAAGGAGAGGCCCCACTTTCTCGTCACACCTTCTCTTCTGCTGAGTTCCTCGTGTCTTACAAGTTTTGTTAATGCTACACCCAATTTCCTCCAAATGACAGATATTTAGGGAGCAACAGTGACATTGCTAGGGTGGTGGTCATGATGTCATCCTACTTATGTTTCCACTCAATGCAGCCTTTATCCCCCATGCTCCCTAGTTAAGCTTCTGTCACAAGGCCAGCATGGACAAAGGGCTTCTCAGTCACTTGTCAGTGACATATTTGATTGCTGCCTCCAGAATGACCAGATAGCAAAGGGAGCAGCAACCAAGATTGGTTGTTTTGAATGTGCAGTAGAATGGTAGAGCTAATATCAATAAATATGTGCAAGCAATAGAATGGTAGAGCTATATCAAGAAATATGTGTGTGCAGGGTGTGTGCTAGGGTTTTCATCCAAGAGGAAAGGGAGCGATAGCACAAAAAAAAGGTTTAGGAAGCACTGATCTACAGGAACATTTCCAACTTGCTCTCCCAACCTCTACTTATAATTATTGCTGTCCTCTGAACCCAATATTGAGAACTAAGGTACTACTATATCCTTCAAAAGCTTTGAACACACAGATGGCAACATGGCATCCAAATTAAACAACAAAAGAAAAGAAATTGTAGGAGATATTCAACTAGAAGAACACTAATGCTGTGGAATTAGATATTTAAGAGCCTAATAATGACCCAAAAAGGAAAGAGCTGAAGCTGCAAGAATAACTAGAGTAATCAGTGATGAAGAAGTGAAAGCTAAGGGACCTTCTGGGGTTCGCCAGTGGCTATTTACAATATAGCTAAATATTTGAAGCTAGGAATTAAACCCTTTTCCACTATTCAACCAAACTATTATAAATTGTTTACCCATGTATAAGTTGACCTCATGTGGAAGTCAAGAGAAGGTTTGGGGTCAGATGTATGGATTTTGATATGACCTGTGGTTAAGTTGAGGGTACAACTTAGGGACATGTAATGAAGGATATAAAGGACAAAGCAAGGGCACTGGCAAAGCAACAGTCACCACACACACACACACACAATCCTTGCATGGGCAGTGGCTCTTTTGGATCTCACTGCTGAAGCAGGGAGAGTGGGACATTGGGTTAAACATTTTTAAGGACCTTTCTGAACAGTATTACCATATTGACCTGTATATAAGTCAACCCAGGATTTTGGGGTCAATTTTGGGGCATTATTATATAAGGATGAGTATA